ACACTGATTCAAAAAGATACCTGCACCCCCATGTTTATTGCTGCTTTATTCACAATTGGAAAAACATGGAAACAGTCCAAATGCCCAAAAGTAGATGACTGGATTAAAAAGATGTGGTACCTATACACAATGGAATATTACTCAGCAACCAAAAAAAAGAAACACATGTCTTTTGCAGCAACATGGGTGGAGCTGGAAAAGATCATGCTTAGTGAGATAAGCCAGAAAGAAAAGGAAAAATACCGGATGGTTTCACTCATAGCAGGCATATAACGGAACAGGCGAGAAAATAATGATAATGATGAACACGTATATACTAGAGACATTTTGTGGGGATGGAGTGGGGAATGGGATCAAAAACAGTGGGGGGAGGGAAATGCACTGGACCATGGTGATGGCACATGAGTGATGGGAACCCCAAGGGGATTGCAACTGAGATGGGAAAAGGCACAAAATGATGTAGAAATAAACTGTTAAAAAAAAATGGGGATTGGTGGGAGGCTTGAACCTGTCTTCCATTAGTCTCCACCCTTCCTCCACTTAGAAGGGGAAAAACACATTTGCTTTTCATCTGCTCTAATGCAACTGAAACTGCCTCTTCCTTCTTGAGCTTCTTTCCTTTTTTTGTTATTGGTAGTGTCCACTTTAGCGGGACTCATTCTCATTCTCACTCATGTATCCCATGGGTGATGGAAGTTATTAACATAGCAGATGTGGCATTACATTTTGTGTTGCATGCTATACTTGTTTTGGAGTTTTAAGAATACAGATGTGGAGACAATAATTTACCTGACTGGATTTCCTTCACTTTGGCATCTTATTTCAGGATATGGTCAAGAAGAAATTGCTTTGGGATATAAATTTGGCCATATGAAAGATCTGAATTGATGTTCTTGGAAGAATACTTGAGAATAAAATATGGGGGGATCTGCCTTTTAAAATTGCATACAATTCCTAAAGAAGGACTTCTCTGATCTGATGAAACTAAACTGTCACTAACCATCTCATACACTCAATAGGAGAATGATCATAAGACTTGGAGTTTGATAACTGTTGAAGCTGTTTCAGTTCACAAGTGAGATGAGTTTCTGGTTTTCTGGTTTCCTTCGCTTGTCGATGGTATTGTATGTTTTGACTTGACATTCCTTTGCTCCTGTATTTGTTAACCTCTTCTGAAGTCCAGTGATACAGAAACAGTAGAGTGGTCCTCAGTCACAATATATTACAAAGGACACCCTTTTTTTTTTTAAGATTTATTCATACAGAACTGGGGTACAGGCCAGAGATGTGGAGGGTGAGAGGATTCACCAGAGACAGAGTGGGGTGCAGAACAGGCTGACTGATGAAGTACACTGCTGAGGGGAGCAG